TAGCCCTCCGACTCTAGGCCTCTTGGAGCCCAAGAAGGAGAAGGAAGAGGAGGAATTGTTCCCTGAGTCAGAGCGGCCAGAGATGCTAAGTGAACAAGAGCACATGAGCATTTCAGGCAGTAGTGCCCGCCACATGGTCATGCAAAAGCTGCTTCGGAAGCAGGAGGTAAACAAGACTCCCAGAGCTCAGCCTTTCTGTAATTCTCTATCCCATCCCATTCCCAATACCTTGGGTTTGTGTCCCTCCCAAGTCCATATCCTCCCGCTGCAGGGGCCAATCTTCACCTCCATAGATTAGGCATCATATCAGCCCCTAGGAACCAAACTAGAGATATTTGTGTTCCATTTGCTGTTCCTTTGAACTAACCATAGCAGTGTGGGAGAAGGGAGAAGGGGTGGGGTGTGTGGCAAAAGAGTTACAGTCAAGAGTGGAGGGGCAGCATGAAGGTCTGTGTTAACTCCCAGTATCAGGTAGGATAGTGCATAAAAGCATGAGAGAAAACCCTCCCTACCTGCACCTCTGAGATGGAGTGCACCTCGTCCCAGTACTCACATCCCTTTCTTCTTCCAGTCTACAGTGATGGTTCTGCGCAACATGGTGGACCCCAAAGACATTGATGATGACCTGGAGGGGGAAGTGACAGAGGAGTGTGGCAAGTTTGGGGCTGTCAACCGTGTCATCATCTACCAAGAAAAGCAGGGTGAGGAGGAGGACGCTGAAATTATAGTCAAGATCTTTGTGGAGTTCTCCATGGCCTCAGAGACACACAAGGCTATTCAGGCCCTCAATGGGCGTTGGTTTGCTGGCCGAAAGGTGGTGGCTGAGGTCTATGACCAAGAGCGCTTTGACAATAGTGATCTGTCTGCGTGACCTCAGCCCTGCTCCTCCCCAGCCTCTCAAAGACTCGAATTTTCCTCTTGTCTCTCCCCTCCAGTTTGTGTAGAAAGATATATGGGGCTGAATTCAGCCCCTGCCTGGCCTTTTTGTGTAGTTTGGATAAAAGTACAGATGCTGCTGGCCCCTTGTACACACCGTGTGTGAGATCATATGCTTGCCGGCTGTCCCCATCTCTACATGGACTTTATCTTCCAGGGCCTCTTCCTGGGCTTTGGCAAGAGCTTTCTGGCCCTTTTGGTGCTTTGACGGGCCGTCTAGCCTCACCCTTTGTGTCATTTTTTTTCAGTTCAACAAATGTTTGCTCTGTGCTGAGGGAAGACAGGAGAAGATATGGTCTTCTCCTCAAGGACCCCATAGCTGGGTTAAATAATGCACATACAATGAAATAGAATGATGCAAAATAGTATCTCCACCCTCTGTTTTCTGCAGAAAGATAAAGGACTGAACCCAGCCCTACCAGTCCTGTCTGGTTTAAATAAAAACATGAAGGGCATACCTCAAAATCTTAAGGGGGCAACAGTTCAGGTCAGTGCATTTCAAGGAAGGCTTTACGGAGGAAGAGGATTCAGCTTACATGAAGTCAGGGTGGGATTTGGTTACTAGGGGTTGGAAGTAGCATTCTCAGGGTAGAAACAGGACAGGTATAGAAAAGGAGTAGCAGAAATCCATAGAGAAATTGGCTTCTAGGGGAACAACTCCTTGGGTGCTATTACCTACAGCAAAGGACCACCTTGCCTTATCTAGGTCAGTGAAAAGGATAGTGAAAAGGAAGAATAGAGGAAGATTCATAGATAAGTGGGATGAGAAAGGCTTGGCCTCACCTGACCTTAGCAGTTAAGAAATGGACACAATCCCCCCCAAGAGTTGCTTATCTTTGACTTCACCCTTCCTTTCCTCCTTTTCTAGCATTAGCTCTTTTACCTGCTCTATTTCCTTGCCTTCTTATATTTTCCAGCTGTCAGACCCCTCACCAGGGACCTCTGTCCTGCCATGGGATAGGCTCATCCGATGTGTGTGGCTTTTTCTTCACTCCCTTACTGACTGACTGGCTTGAAGGCAGGAACGTTGGTTTAGATCCTTAGATCGGTTTAGAGCCTCAAAATATGGTTCTACTTAGGGTTGACCTAAACTTTTGAATCAGTCTTCAAGTAATTCATGAGTGTCTACTGTGAAAAGGGCATACTCCTAGGGGCTCAAGGATTAAAAGTGTAGGCATACCCAGAAAAATGTTACCTTGACCATCATTTCACAATAGCATTATGTTGGGAGCAAATGTCATTTGGCTTTACAGAAACCTTATTGCACATAGCTCTACCAGTTACTCGCTTAGATTTCCTAAGGACCTAATTGACCCTGTAACATCATTTTACCTAGTCAGTTTAAGTGCCCAAGGGCTTGCCCCTCAAAGAGACTGTAGTTTAATTGAAATAATATGTACATACTTGAAAAATTTTTATGTGACATCTTGTGATGTTGCATTACATTATTTAACTTTGTGTTTCCTTTGGAAACCATTTCTCTTCTCACCAAACCTGTTACCCTTTCTACTTAAGTTTTTCCAGATATAAAAGCAGATGCCATCAAAGAAATGTATGCCTAGTAGAGAAAAAGATGGACTGGTCATATAACAAGGATGAAGGACAAGACTAAGGGACACTTTGTGTGTTTCTTTCATTTCCTCCAAATGTGAGGAGAAGTTGAGAGAGGCACTCAGCACATTGGATGGATCACCTGTGGTGAATTTATAAGAGTGTGTGTATGGAGTCAGATCTGCTTTGTTGAAGAGAATACTCATGATAATGAAATGACAGTCATGCTGAAATTGAAGTTAAGCAGGAATGTAGCCAAAGAAAGAAAAATGTGCTAAATAATGATCATTGTTAGAAGTCTTCAAATGAGTTAGGTGACCACATAGCAAGGGAAAAGATTCCTGTTCAGGCATAAGTTGAACTAGATGACCTTGTGAGGTTTCTTTCCAACTCTGCAAAGAACGTCCCTTCTGCAAAGACTCCCTTCTCTAGTGTATCCCAAGAAGTAATTCAGCCTTTGCTTGCAGGGGTGGGGTGGCCTCAAGGCCACAGGTTCCCCACCCCTGAAAAGACTCCTTGTGAGGGAACCCATTCTCCTCCTTCCCTCCCTAAAGTCTTCTCCTGGCCAAGTGTTCAATCCTCCAGACCCTTCACCATTTTTCTTGTCCTCTAGACGTTTTCCAGCTTATCAATGACTTTTTAAAATGCACCTGGAACTGAAAACTATTCCAGATGTAGTCTGACCAAGGCATATAGTACAGGACAGTTTATCTCCACTACTTTAGAGATCCTATCTATATGCAGCCTAAGATTGTTAGGGATTCTTTTAGTGCCAGAGCACACTTCATTCACTTTGAGCTTACAGTCCCCCAAAACCCCTGGACCTTTTTCAGATGAACTGCCTCTTAATTAAGCCCAACATACTAGCCTATCAAGATATATTTTGGATTCTTATTATCAACCCAGCGCATTATCTATCCCTTTTAACTGTTTAATTTGTAAAGCATAGTACAGGGAAGAGTCCTGGATTTGAACTTAGGTTCAAAATCTGGATCTGCTACGTGCTGCCATTGCGACTTTGGGCAAGTTACTTCCTAACCTTGAGCGAGTTGGACTACATGACCTCTGAGAGCCCATCCATTTCGCTTAGTAAGGATGTTCAACTAATTAGGAAACCACCTAACTTTTCCATAGTTAGACCTCTAGTAAGGCCATCATTCCATTTTGTCTACAAGAGTAACCTGAGAGCAGGCTAAATGCTTTGTGAAAGTATAGGTAAAGCTGTAGCTACAGCAGACCGCTGAAGAGTCTAGCAACTCTAGAAGGAACATCAGGCTAATTTGAAACCATATGCTGACAAACCGATGAAAAATCATCTCTAATACACGAGACTTCTGCAGGGAACTATAGTTTGAAGATGCCACCATCTTTTTTTAAAAAGGCAGGGGACAAGATTTTTCCTCTAGTCTGATATCCCTCCAATTCTCCACGATCTTAAAAACCTCAACCACCACATTTCCTAGTACTCTATGACGGACATCTGGATCTGACAACTTGACCTTATCAAAACTTCCCATTAGCCATTTCTTGTCCTTTCCAGTCCATTTTTCCCCCAAGATAAAACAAGCAAAATAGTTCTCTGTTCGTTATTTTTGGCCCATTCATAATTTGAGCTTCATCTTTTTCCCAATACAGCTGCTTTTTAAAAATCCTTTTTGTTGTCCTTGGTATGTCTCCCGTTATTCTTTAGAAAGATAAGGATCAGGGGCAGCGAGGTGACGCAGTGAATAGAGCACCGGCCCTGAAGTCAGGAGGACCTGAGTTCAAATCCGACCTCAGACCAAACACTTGACACTTACTAGCTGTGTGACCCTGGGCAAGTCACTTAACCCCAATTACCTAAAAAAAATAAATAAAAATAAGAATCAAGACACTGGTAGCAACCAGAACTCCACTGCAACCTCCCTTTGACACGCCACCTGTCCATGAGAAACTATAGTTCCCATAATGCTCAGCGTTCTAGGTGTCGTTCCCCTTGGATTGGCTGGAAAACCTAGACTACATTTCCCTGCATGCAAGATGGCGAAAGGGAGTGGGAAGGGCTTTAGAGCGCTCGACAGACCGAGAGGGGCGGAGGGGGGGGAGTATGGGTCCTTGGAGGGGCCAATAATGTAGGCGAGGCCGCGGGGTCTTCTGGGAACTGCAGTCCTCCACTGGGTTTGGGACTGGGGCGGCGAGGGAGGGACTCGTCTTCCCGGCAGGCGGCGCGGCGAGCAGGCGGTTGGGCGGCCGGTGGCGGTTCCGGCGGCCGTGGCGGCGGTGGCGAGGACGGACGGAGGGACGCCCGGACGGACGCCTGGAGTCGGAGCCGAGACCGAGACGGAGACGGAGACCAAGACTGAGGCGTCGCCGGGGGTCCGAGAGTAACGCGGAGCCGAGAGCAGGCGGGATGTGGGATCGGAGCTTCAGCTCCTGAGCGCCCAGCCGGGGCCGCGCCCCCCGCCCCCCTGCCCCAGGCCTCTCCCCACCCATTTCCCGGGCCTCGCTGCTCTGAGCCGAGCGGGCCGGTGAGGAGACGCCCCCGCCCCGCCTTCCCGGGGAGCCCCCTTCGGAGACGTCGCCCCGCCCCTCCCCTTCCTTCCCGGGAGCCCCTTCCCCAGGCTGTCCGCAGGAGCCTCGGCTCTGGTCCCGAGGCCGTAGCTCTCCCCGCAAACCTCCCAGCCCTCCCCCGAAGTCCCCCCTGATAGGGAATCCCGGCGCTCCTCCAGTCTCCCTGCAGAGACTCTCCTTTCCCTCTTGTCTCCTCAAAGACCTGCCCCTTTGTCCTAGACTGAGAGCTCACCCCCTTTACACACACTCACTCTCTCTCTCTCTCACTCACACTCACTCTCCACCCCCTCCCCACTCGCCCATACTCCACTCCCTAGGCTCGTCAGATACACCCCGCTCCTCCTTTCCCAAAAGAATTGGGAAATCCCTTTTAACTGTCCTCAGGGACTTGCCCTCTCCTTCCCGAGCTGTCATCAGAATCCCATCCCAAAACCCAGAAACCTGCTTCTTCACTTTTCACAGGCTCCTCCATCTCTTCAAAGATTCCCCTTTTCTCACAGGAATCCCTCCTTTCTCTACTGACGTTTTTCGCAGATTTCCATCCCCTCCCCAAAACAAAACAAAACAAAACACTTCAGCTTGGGGAATTTCTCCTTTTCTAACAAGGACAGCCTTCTCTCATAGATCCTTCCTTAGTGGGGAATCTCAAGATACCCGCTTCTAAATCAGCTTTAAGAGGGACCCTTTCCTCCTAGGGTTTTTACTCTCCAAATCCAACATCTTTTTTTCATTTCTTTCCTTTAATTGAGGGATTTTCTAAGAGACCTGAGTTGCATCTATCATGTAGAGAACCCTTCTCACTCCACCTCCTATAGAGAACCTAGCCTTTCCCAGGGACTTCTCTAGGTCTGCCCTCCTGGGGCTTAAGATTTTTTGTGGGGATCCTCTTTAGAGATCATTCCCTCACAATTCTTCCTTCCCCGTCACCTATCAGGTGCTTTCAAGGGAACCTTTGAACTCCTATCAGGGGTTTCTTGATTCTAGTCCCTTCTTCTGGCCCCAGTGTTCACCTCATAGGGTCCAGTTCCCAGCCGGCTCAGGCCTGGCCCCCACCTGCCCTCCCGCATGCAGCCCCGAGCTCTCTCGAAGCCCCCTGCCTCCCAGTCCCTCCTCAGAGGCTGCCCAGGGCCCCTGTGCCCAAGGCAGTGCCATCGCCAGACCTTGCTGATCCTGGCCTGGCCTCACCTTCCTGCTCCCCGATAAGAGAGGCCAGGGGCTCCTGCTTGTTGCCCCCAGCTCCTATCCTGTGCCTCTTTCCCGATGCCTCCTGCCCAGACCTGCATGGTTTTGGCTCCTGTAATCCTTGTCTAGGGGCCCCTTGACCTAAGCCTCTTTGACTTTCCCTTGTCTGCCGGAGTCCCCCCTTTTCTCTTCCATCTTCTCCATCCTGGGGGAGAGGAACCTTCCTGAGCACCATGCTGAAGTGCATCCCCTTGTGGCGGTGTAACCGGCATGTGGAGTCAGTGGACAAGCGACACTGCTCACTGCAGGCTGTTCCAGAAGAGATCTATCGCTACAGCCGCAGCCTGGAGGAGCTGCTGCTTGATGCCAACCAGCTGAGGGAGCTACCTAAGGTGAGGGGGTCGGATAGTTATCCCAGGAGTCTCAGCATCATGCACCCATTAGGCCCTGTTCCTGATACCCCTACCACCAGCATGCCTGTGAGAGGAGTAGCTAGTTGTCTGCTCCTTCGTGGTATGCTGAGCATACCCTGTGGAACACTGAGAAAAGTGTCCTTCATTGTCACTGTGGAACCCAGGCTGGGAAGCCTAGAAATAGGCATCATTTTCTCTGAGTACCTGGGACAAAGAATAATGCATGTGTGATGGCAAGAGTTGTGTGGCTGCAGACGGTTTTCTGGATCCCACGAGAGCCATATATCTTGGCTGGAGGGGTTCCAGTGGTTCTGTGCTCCATTGTCATCAGGACTGGGCTAGTATTGGATTCTAAGAACCTTTACAATTGATGTTTTGGATAAATTGCCTTCTCTTTCAGTAGGGAGCTTCCTATTCTCAATAGGGCCTCCCTGGGGAACTAAGGGGTGAGTATTAATTGGATGTTCTGAGGAGGGCATGTACTAGGAACTTCTTCTGAGAGACTCCCACGTCTGGTTGTCTAGGTATCTTATCTGACACCAATATCACTTGTCAGTCATCCACATTTCATCTGGGGAGGAACCCCTGGAAATCAGTGGGCACCTTCTACCATCCTCACTTTTACTCAACTGAGGGTCCTTAGGTGGAGTCACTCATTGTACTTGAATCTGGAAAAAAGTATGTGATCCTGTCCTTTGATCTCTGAGGAGTCTGTAGAAGATAGTGGCAGGAGGGTCATCTCCTTGTCCTAGGTGTGGGAGGAGGCACTATGAACCAGCTCTGCCAAGTCCAACTGGTTCCTGCTCCACCTGAGCTCTTTCCCTCTCCCCTCCCCCCCCCCTTCCTCGGGCTACCTGCTGCTGAGAAGGCACCAGGTGGCACCTGTCACCAGGCAGCCACTGCCCATCTCTATGGGAGGGGAGGGGAGAGAGGGAGCTGAGATGTGAAACCTGAGCAGGAGTCAGGCAGGCAAAGGCTGTGATTGTCCTAAGCAAATCTTCTGTTCAGGCTGATTAAAAGAAGCTTTTAATTTGCTTACATCTAGGGAGGCCCTAAGTCTACTCCCAGTCCCACCCCTCCTTCTTGGGCTGCCTGGGTTTCCGTCCCTGGGGCAGGGAAGCCTCAGCCTGTCCAGGCAGGATAGGGGTTGGGTCCTTGGGATTTTGGCCTGGCTCTCTTTCCTTCCTCACTTACTCTTCCCCCAATGTAGTACCAGCCTTTCCCCCAATATTCCTGTAACTGTTCTATCCTGTTCCCACTGCTTTTTTTCCTTTTGTTTCTTCCCCTCTTCCCTTGTTATCATTGCTTAGGGTGCTGGATTCCTTGCCTTGACTCCCATGTTTTTCTTGTTCCAAACTCTTGCATATCTACTTACGGTGCCCAGACATTCCCTCTCATTTACATTGTCCATATGTACAGTCCCTCCCTGGCACCCCTGTTCTCAGGGCCTACTCTGGCTCCCATTGCTAGTGGTCCAGTTGTCCTCTGCCTGCTTACTACCTTTGTCAGGCCATTGTGTACCAGAAATGTGGGTGGGAGCTGTTGTGCTAGTGTCTTGGGAGGGAGGGGGTACTGTTGGAGAAGCAGATTCCAAAAAGCTTTGAAATTCCTAAGTCTTAGTGTTAAATGGCCGGAAATCCGTGTGTTGTACATCACAATGGACAAACAGCCGACTCCCTGGCCTTGAGCTGGCAATCCACAAACTTCCTACCTTCCCCATCTGTGTTCTTGGGGCCTGTGGTCTCAGTTCTGTGGGAGTGAGACTGTGTCTGTTAGAGGAGTAGTAACAGACTGAGAGGGAGAGCAGGGGATTGAGCAAGCTTATTGGTTTATTTGTCTCTAAGGTAGGATGGGCTTTAGGGTTCTTCAGGGCATTGGTTCTAGGGGAACTGGCGGGAGGTGTACGTGTAGGATGTTTGTAGGGTTGGTTGTGAAGTGGGAGGGCTTGAGAGGCTGGGACTTGTTCCCTTGACTTTTCCTTTTAGCCTCACAATCTTAATGAGGCCCCCTTGAAATACTCTTTTCCTTCACTTCCTAGCCTTTCTTCCGCTTGCTGAATCTTAGAAAATTGGGCCTGAGTGACAATGAGATTCAGAGGCTGCCACCTGAGGTGGCTAACTTCATGCAGCTGGTGGAGCTTGATGTCTCCCGAAATGGTGAGAAGCCTTGGGGCAGGGGCTCAGGAGTGGGGAGAGATTTCTGTAGTAGGGATTACCCTGGGGGTGGGTTTGGGGAAGATGACTGACAATGGTAGGTATAGATGAAAGGAAGCTCCTGCATTGTGTTCTTGTTGATGGTAAAATTAATAAAATTTTGATTTGGGCCCCAGGTTACTAAGTGTACCATGCACAAAAGAACACCCAACATCAATCCAAAAGGACTTCCTGGAGGAGGAGGTGTTACTTCAGCCAATGTTAAAAAAGGGTCAGGGCTTATTAAGAACACCAAGGCTAGGAAACTTCCAAGTCTACAGCTGAGCCTGGTGCTGTGGGCTGAGGTGTTATAGATGGCCACGTTGGGCACCTCAGCTCTACCAACAGACCATCTGTAGCTACAGACTGTTTTTCCCTTTTGGACTATTTAATATGGTAGTGTTCTGTATGCTGATCTGTTTCTATGTGTTTTGTGATTTTCATTTTTCTCAGTTTCTCAGTAAAAATTTCTTTGGCAAATTTTAACTTTGCCTCAGTTGAAACTGAGGAAATGGAATTGGGTGGGTTTTTTGTTTTGTTTTGTTTTGTTTTTATTTTTTAAAAATTCTTCCCACATCTGGATCAGTATAGGGAAGGAGGGTCATTTTACTTTTTGGATTGTAACTGCTAGTGTCAGATCTAATAGAGTTGGGAACAGGAGAGAATAGAGTCTGGGTCACTTGTGGTCCCTGGATCCCCTTCCTGTCTGGGCATTCCTCTGATAGGAATAACAGGGGGCTACTGGGATGACAGGTTCAAATATCACCTCAAACACTTACTAGCTGTGTGACCCTGGGCAAGTCACTTAAACTCTCTTTGCCTTGGTTTCCTCATCTATAAAATGGGATAATAGTAGCACCTACTTTCCAGGATTGTTGTGAGAGTCAAATGAGGTAATAATTGTAAAGTGCTTAGCACAGTACCTAGCAGATAGTAGGTGCTATATAAACGTTAGCTGTTATTAGCTATTTATATTCTATCATGCAGATATCCCTGAGATTCCTGAGAGCATCAAGTTTTGCAAAGCCCTGGAGATTGCAGACTTCAGTGGGAACCCCCTGTCCAGGTAAAAGGACTAGGGAAGAAGTGAGGCTTAAGATCTGCTATGGTTTTTTGTGGTGTCCAAGGTCCTGTTCCTATGGGGCAGGAGTGGGATGGGAAGCTAAGTATTCTCTAATCTGGTGGTGGTGTATTTAAGGATCAATCTTTCCCCCTAAAGAGGGTTGTCTGGAGGTCTTTTCTTCCCTTTGACTCTCCCAACCTCTGTAGGCTCCCTGATGGCTTCACCCAGTTGCGCAGCTTAGCTCATCTTGCCCTGAATGATGTGTCTCTGCAGGTGCTGCCAGGAGATGTGGGCAAGTGAGTGAATGAGGGGATCTGGGCAGAGTAGGGGAATTAGATGATGGAGTTCTCTGGGGAGGGGAATGGCAATGTGGCTAAAGTAGGAACCACCTTCCATCTCTTATGCTTACTCCAATCTCTTTTCCAGTTTGGCTAACTTGGTGACTTTAGAGCTACGGGAGAACCTGTTAAAGTCCCTTCCCACGTGAGTTTCAGCAGAAGCCCTTATCCTATCCAAGTCTTTTCTGCTTCCAGAAGTTCCCTGCCCTTCTAGGCTGTAAGGCTTTAGTTATTTTCAAGCTTAGTTCTTTGAGTTACAGTTTGAGCTCTTTTCTTCTCTCTCTAGTCCCCTGTCCCTTCAGTTGTCCTCCACCAAACTCTTAACCTATTTTCCAACTCCTGCTCTCCTACCTGCAGGTCCCTGTCCTTCCTTGTCAAACTAGAACAGTTGGATCTAGGTGGCAATGACTTGGAAGTGCTGGTAAGGGGCAGGGCCTAGGGGCCCTGGGGACTGGAGGTGGTGGTGAGGGTGGGGATGTCTGGGCAGAAGCAAGAGAATTCCTAGTCTTTACAGATACATCTTTACTTGTCCTATTCTGTTATAGCCAGACACTCTGGGGGCACTTCCTAATTTGCGAGAGCTGTGGCTGGACCGAAATCAGCTGTCTACACTGCCTCCGGTGAGTGAAGGGGAGACTGAAATCAAGAGTTTTCTCCCTGACTCCCCCTGTTGTTCTGCCTACTCCCTGCTTTCCTTCACTCAGCCCCACCTTCCTTTGAGCCTCCACTTTTCCTCATCCTTTACCAGTCTTCTCTCACTTTTCTTGCCCCTTCCTTCTCAGTCCTCCCCATCTTTTCAAAATTCTCTTATTCCATTGTGTCTCTCCTTCTAAACTCTCCAACCTTTCCTCATTTTCCACTGGTTCTAGTCCTTCCTGTCTCCTCCATTCCTCTCCCTTCTTAGCTTTCCTTCATTTCCTCTCACCTTCCTCTAATTTCCCTCTATTTGTCTTCTCTCAACCTTTCCTCTGGCCCCATGCTTCCTATCCTTACTTCCAGCTCTCTATTGAGTTCTTCTCTTCCAACATTTCTCAGTCTATAGCTTTCCTTTGTCCATTGTCCTTCCAAATATCTTTATGCTTTTAGTCTGTCTGTCTCTTACCAGTTCTCCACTTTTTCTAGGAGTTGGGGAACCTTCGACGCTTGGTGTGCCTGGATGTGTCTGAAAACAAACTAGAGCAGCTGCCAGCTGAGGTCAGTGGGCTGACCCTGCTCACGGACCTGTTACTGTCTCAGAACCTGCTGGAGCGCCTCCCAGATGGCATTGGTATGTGAGGTGTTCCAAGGACATTAAATTTTTGATGGTGAAGAAAGGCTTAGGTAGGAGAAGAGAGGAAGGGAATAAGCATTTATGTAACACCTTCTCTCTGCCAGGCACTGTACTATGCATTTTACAAATATGATCTCATTTGGTCCTCACAACAACCCTGCAAGGAAGGTGCTGTTGTTATCCTCATTTTACAAATGAAGGAACTGAGACAGAGATTAAATGACTTGCCAAGAGTCACATAGCTAGTAAGTGTCTGAAGCTGAATTTGCATTCAGGTCTTCCTAAACTCCAGGCCCAGCTATTCATTTTGCTACCAGCAGCTCCTGTTGGGAAAATCTCCTTTATTCTGTACCTTTATGTCCCCAGGTCAATTGAAACAGCTGTCCATTCTGAAAGTGGATCAGAATCGGCTTTGTGAGGTTACTGAGGCCATTGGAGAGTGTGAGAACTTATCAGAGCTCATTCTCACTGAGAACATGCTGACGGTATGGACCACGGAGCCTGGACCCTTCATACATACCTACCTGATTCCACAGACTTTAAATCCCTGCTGTGATCCTGGTCTGTCTATCATCCCTGCATTCCCTGCCCTTGGTCTCACAGATTCTATCCTGGCCCACTAATGGTTCTTGCCTTCAGACCCCATGATCCCTGCCTTGGAACCCTTAATTTCTATTCTTGTCATGATGCTTTAACTGCTACCCTTGACTCCAAGGCCCCAGTAGTGCCCACGTTTGCCCTTGCAGTCCCAACTGTGATCCCCATCATGCCCTCCGTGCTCTTCTTCTCCTTTCTTCTTTTGTCTCAGAGGAAATCCTTTGCACACCTCCTGTCCTGAACACTCACTTGGGTCACTAGAAATCACCCTTGGGACAGGGTCTCATTCTAGTTCCAATGGAGGAGGGCTGACCCTGTCATGCTACTGATGGGTTAGACAGATGTATCACTGACCTCTTGATAGTAACTTGGAAGCCCTGGGTTCATGGCCCATATTGTTCCCTGCCAGGCACTTCCCCGGTCCTTGGGGAAGCTAACCAAACTGACTAACCTGAATGTGGACCGAAACCGGTTAGGAACACTCCCTGCCGAGGTTGGCGGCTGTACCAGTCTGAATGTGCTTTCCCTTCGTGACAACCGCTTGGCCTCTCTGCCCCCTGAACTGGCTGGCACCACTGAGCTACATGTGCTGGATGTGGCAGGGAACCGGTAAGCAGATTCCCCCCTTCCCATTCCCAGCTTCCACCTCTTCCTCTTCCCCTTGCTTAATGGAGAACAGGAGAGGTGTTAAAGGAGGGGCCCTTGGCTCAGGGGAGCGAGGCCCCTCTCAGTAGACCCCATCCCCCCAGGCTGCAGAGTTTGCCCTTCGCCCTCACCCACCTCAACTTGAAGGCCCTGTGGCTGGCAGAGAACCAGGCTCAGCCCATGCTCAAGTTCCAAACAGAGGATGATCAGAAGACTGGGGAGAAGGTGCTCACCTGCTACTTGTTGCCCCAGCAGCCCTCACCTAGCCTTGGTAGGACTTGATAGTATTCAGCTCTCCTTCTCACCCCAACCCCCATCTCTGGGACCACACCTCCCCACCACTCCCTGCATTCCTGCCTCGCCTTCCCCAGAGTCCACCCTAACTCCACTCCTTTTTCTTCCCCTGCCCCAATTTCTTGCCTCACCCCACCTAACCAGGTCTCTGCCTCACCCCATCCCCCATGTTTTACCCCACTAGTCCAATTCTTATTTGCCCTGGTCCCCCTCCCTTCGTGTCTTCCCCTGGCCCAGTCCCTGCTTCCTCTCTGCTCCTCCAGACACTCTGCTGCAAAGCAGCCTGGATGAGAGCTGGAGTGGCAGCCACAGTCATGTGAACCGGGTCAGTGTGATCCAATTCTTGGAGGAGCCCATGGGTATGGAGGATGAGGAGCCTGGGGCAGAGAAGAGGGTGAGTTGAGGGGCTGGAGTGTTTGAGGAGCACCAATGCTTTGGAAAACAAGTTCCCATTCCCCTTACCTGTTAAGCAGCTGACCCCCAGAGTTACATCAGTCACTGAATCCCGCTCCCCCTACCCCTCGTTTGCGGTCACTGCTTTGTGTTTATCATTCCCTCAACATTAACACCACCAGTTCCTGGTCACTCTTTTTGCTAGAATCACTGTCCTCCTTCCCTTCCCTCCCATCTCATTCTTCTCCCTTTGGCTTTATCCCACTGCCCAGGGCAGGGTCCACTTTCCAATTATGGTTATTCTTATGTTAGGGTCTGCAGCGAAGAGCTACTCCTCACCCCAGCGAGTTGAAGGTTATGAAGAAAGTGATCGAGGATCGACGTAATGAGGCCTACATGGCAAAGCCTGATTCAGAGCAGATGTTACCCACTGAAGAGGTGTGAAAAAGGAGTCGTTGGAGGGGGGAAGACATATGTTTGGGGATAGAAAATTTTGGAAAAGTGTGGGATTAGGAGAGACAGGAATGAAGAGAAGAGGACATGGAGTAGGGATGGTTGGGAAATATATCTTGGTTTACTCATTCAGGAAGGTCCTCCAGCATCCCCTGTTAGCCCCTTCTTTTTCCTTCTCTGTCCCAACCTGACCCGAGTCTCCTGGTTCTGCATCTAGTCTGATGGCTGCTAGCAGCATATCTAGCCACTGGGGTAGCTTTCTGTCTTGAATGAAGTATAAAAATCCTTTCCTTTTGGGTTTCACTCAGGATTGTGAGGTGGAAAGAAGGCTGTATTTGAGGTCAGACATCCTGGATTCAATTCCATTTCTTTAGCTAACTTAGCTATCTGACCTTGAGCAAGTCAACCTAACTTTCCTGGGCCTTGGTTTTTGCTTTTGTACAGTGAAGTTAGTAAGACTTGTATTGATTGCCTCATAAGGTTAGAATGAGGCTCCATAAATTTGAAAGTTAGCATTTCTGTTGCAATATGAACTGCAATAGAAGTGTAGCGTTGTGGAATAGTAGTTGAGTACTGGACTTATCATCAGGAAGACCTGAGTTCAGATCTCACCTTTGACACTAGCTGTGTAATCCTGGGCAACTTAGGTGACCTGTCTGTGCCTCATATAACTCCCTAGGACCAGAGGTGTGCTTAAAACTAACTCATCTGGTCTTGCAGGAGCTGATTGTTAAGTTTTCAGTGTGAGCATTTACACCTTGGAAATTGACAGAAGCTACAGATCAGGGCTTGATTTATCGTTTTGCTAATTGCCTAGACTTAAGAAAATGATAAAATTCAAATAATGTAGATTAAACTTAAAAGCATGTTGTGCATTTTTGAAAAGCTAGTTATTAAGTATTTATTTACCAACATACCCCTTCCAGCATACCATCTTAGACAAATTGTGTGCTCTGTCTTGATGGAGGGAATTTCTCATGCTAATGAAATCACAGATCTTTCTTTTATTCCAGTATTATTAAGACAGGGCTAGAGTTTTTTCAAAAGGAAGTTTTACTATAAAAACAAAGGAAACCAGAAGATAACAAAAACATGGAGTGATTTTTGGCTATGTTTTCAGAAGGAAAGGTAACTAGGTAGTGCCATGGCTAGAGTTCTGGACCTGGTGGCAGAAAGATCCGAGCTCAAATCCAGTCTCACACACTTGGTAGACATGTGATCCTTGGCAGGTCATTTAACTGCTGTCTGCCTCAGTTTCCTCATTTGTAAAAGTAGCACCTACCTCCTAGAGTTGTTAGGAAGATCAAATAAGATGGGATAATATTTGTAAAGTGCTTTGCAAACCTTAAAGTGCTGTGTAACATTACTAGCTATTATAGTGTCCAAAGTGAAGGAGGTAATAATACTGCTGTTCCCTGCCCTGGTCAGACCTCATCTCAGAGTATTTTATTTAGTTCTGGGCCCCTCATTTCAGGAAAGGATATTGACAAGCTGTAGCAAGTGCCAAGGAGAGTGATTTGAATGGTGAAGGAACCGGAAGCCATGTTATATGAAGATTGGTTAAAGGAACTGGAGATTTTTTTTAATTGGCAAGGGTGGGCAGTGGGGAAGAGGAAATCATCATTTTCACATAGTTAAAGGGATGTCATGAAGGCAACACATATATCCTTTCCAGGTGTAACAATGGGTGATCCTAACTTGGACCAATGACTAAAAGTTATAGGGAGGCAGATCCCTGGTGTATATGAGAGAGAACTTTTTAGCTTTCCAGCAGTGAAAAAGGCTGCCCTTTTTGTGTGCTGAATTCCATGTCACTGGAGATATTCAGGCAGAGACTATATTAAGACTTGTTGCAAATGTTATAGTAGGTGTTCCTTTGTCAGCTAGTTTACCTGGGTGACCTCTTCCCAACTTTTTAGATTCTGGGAATTTACAGACTACAGCCATATGGATATCCCATGACTAAAGTCTAACCATGGACCAGCTGGGTGGGCAGGAGACATTTCCTGAGACACTGAGATTCCCTTTTTGGGGATCCCCATCCAAAAGCACTTTATTTAAACCTTGGGCTTTTTCCATTCCTCTCACTTTGTCTTTCCTAAGAAAAGTCCTCAGACTGGTGCTCTGGTTCTTCATTTTATGCGATTGTAGACCCATGTTGGAGAAAGAAATTATTCTGTCACAAAATTTTAAAAATAAAACAATAGCTAGCATTTACACAGCACTTTGTTTTGCAAGGAACTTAAAAATATTATCTCATTTTGTCTTCACCCATATGTCTTTCACATGTGTCTATCAGCACCTTCTCCAGCAGGGGTCTCATAAAATAGTGAGTCTTGACTTCTGTTCCTCAGGACTCACCTTTCACTCTTACCAAGAGTCTGGGGTCGGGGCAGCCAGGTGGCACAGTGGATAGATTACTGGCCCTGGAGTCAGGAGGACCTGAGTTCAAATCCAGCCTCAGACACATAACACTTACTAGCTGTGTGACTCTGGGCAAGTCACTTAACCCCAATTGCCTCACACACACACACACAAAAAGTCTGGGGTCATTGCTTCGCAAGTGTTAGTATGTGTTACCCATGCTGCCTGGTCCATAATACCCATCCCTATGTCTTCTCCTGGGGAACCCAAAGCAGCAACAGTGAGAGAAATAATAGCTTTCATTTCCAAAGCACTTTATAGTTTAAAAGGACTTTTCTTAAAGTGAACATGAGGTAGAAGTTAGTAGAACTATTATCCTCATTTCATAGCTTGAGAAACTGAGGCTTTGGAGAGGTTAAGTGACTTGCCCAGGGTCATACAACAAGTAAGTACAAGAATCAGTAACCAAACCCAAGTCTAATGATGCTTAATTAAGCACAGCACTTTTCCAACTAAACCATACTCATTCTCCTAAAAAGAGGTCTTAGGTGAGAAAGGCATTGGAGGATCTTATCGTTGCTGCTCGGGATTTTTCCTTTTTGCTTGAGCTGCAGCCCTGGAGAATTTTAGGGGCCTTAAGGACCAAGTTGTAGAATCCAAACTTCAGATCCACAAGGAACCTGGATTGTGTATTCCAACTCAGACCTCAGACAGAATCCCTTTACAACATCCCCTGCAAGTGGTCATGCATCCTCTGTAACCTTTCCAATGCCTACCTCCCTAGGCAACTTATTTTATTTTACAACAGCTTTATTTTTTAAGGAAGTTTTTCCTTATGAAATATGCTTCTCTGCAGCTTCCAGTTATTCGTTGTTCTGCCCTCTGGGCACAGGTAAAAAAGTACTTTTCTGCCTCATGATAGCTCTTTATTTGAAGCAATTACACCCTCACCTAAGTCCTCTCTTCTGCCAAGCTAAATATCTCCATTTCCTTCCTCATATGGCATGATTCTGAATCCCTAACAATTTTGGTCTTCATCCCCTGAACACATGGCAGTTCCTCAGTATCCTTCCAAAAATGTGCTAACTAGAACTGACCCCAGTAATCCAGGGGTCATCTGACCAGATTGCAGAAGACAGTTAAGACTCTCTTCTCCCTCTTCTGAAACAATATGTTGTCATTAATGCAACCCCAAGATCTTGTTCTTGTTTTTGGTTGCCATGTCACTGTTGGCTCAGATTAAGCCTTTGTTGTTGTTCAGTCATTTCAGTCGTATCTGACTCTTTGTGACCTCATTTGGGGTTTTCTTGACAGAGATACTGGAGTAGTTTGCCATTTCCTCCTCCAGCTCATTTTACAGATGAGGAAATTGAGGTAAACAGGGTGAAGTGACTTGCCCAGGGTCACACATCTAGGAAGTGTCTGAGGCCAGATCTGACTTTAGGTCTTCCTGACTTCATGTCTGGCACTGTACTGTGCCAATCTAGCTGCCTCAGATTAAGCTTGCAGGCCACTAAAACCCCAGGACTTTTTTCAGAACTGCCGCGCAGCCACATTTTCCCCATCTCATCCTTAGGCAGTTGGTTTTTTTTTTTAAGTGCAAGGCTACATTTATCCTTAACAAACATAGTTTGACTTATTGTTCTAGTCTGCCAAGATACTTTAAAATTCTTATTGTTATCCAACAGGTTATCTACTTTTATGCATTAGTAAATTTTGTAAAGAGCCAGGAGTCCTACCTTATTTGCCCTTCTCAGATTTTATAAAATGAAGAAACAGTTATTCCCTCACAAGGTATGAGGACGGTAAAAGGATGAGGCATAGGAGTAGGGGGATATAGATGAAGGAGGACGTGGTTAGAAGTGTCAGGGGAAATCTGGTGACAAGGCACCCTGGGGTGGGAGTGGAGTGGGGGGGGGGGTCTTCCTCTCTGTAGTTATTTTGTTCCCACTCTTCTATGTGAATCTTTTCCTGGCTTGAACTATTCTTAGACATTTCATTTCCTCTTCTTATTGCCTGTGTGGCTGCTGCTCCCTGGGTTTCCTGGCTGTAGTCTTCGTGTGCTCCCTTAAGGTGGCTCTGTTCTGCCTTCACATGCACTGGACTATTTGGTGTGTTTCATTGAGCTTACCACTTACCAAGCCCTTTGAATCTGTAGATGCCAGAGCAATCATCAGAGATACATTGACATCCAGTAATGTTTTCCTTGTTAAAACACTTCCTGGCCACATTCATCTCTTTGCTCACATCAGTGCTTCTGGACTTTAAATTTCCTTAGCCATAAAATAAGGGAGTTAGGCTAGATCCGGGATAGGAACCTGCGGCCTTGAGGCCACATGTGACCTTCTAGGGTCTTGGGTTTGACCTTTTGATTGAGTCCAAGTTTTACAGAACAAATCCTTTTATTAAGTTTGGATTCAGTTAAAAGGCCGCACTTTAGGACCTGGGGGCCGCATGTGGTCTCAGGGCTGCAGGTTCACCCCCTGAGCTAGATGATTTCTAAGCTTCCTTCCATATTTGTATCCTGTGACAGCCTGTGCTTTAACTGTCCCCTCACCCTCCTCCAAAATTCCTGTCCCAGTTGCCCTCACCAGAGACAAGGGTTTCTTTTCACTTTTCCCTTCTGCCCAGGATTGGAGCAACCTGAAGGCAGAGACTATGACTCCCTCTTCAGACCCTTTAGGGGATTGTTAGAGGTGGGAGGCTTTTCTAGGTCAAGAACCATGTCTTCACCTTCTTACTGCAAGAGACCAATGGACCATCACTCCCTCTTTAGAAAGAGTATTTTTTTAACAACAACAAAAAAAAGAGTATTTCTTGAGTGGGACTGTGTTTCTTCTAGCCTAGTTCTGAGCCTCCACATTTGAGTGTTGAATTGAGTACCTACCAGCATAGTGTCTGCTTGCACTCCCACTATGCGTGGTTGGGGTTTGTGTTGCTCCCTTGTACTGAGAGTAATTCAGCTAGTTTTTACTGAATACTTTTTGTGTTTGAGGCCTTGTGCTGGTGGTCTACCCTGTCAGGAAGATAAGTCCCCTGTATTTGAAGACTTTTCAGATTACCCTGCCTCTGCTGCCGTCACTCAGTAGCCTTTCCTCATTTGATGTTCACTCTCTCCTTACTTTTCATCTGATGTAGATCCTCTTGGCAGCTCTCTACCAACTTCCAGGTCATTCTCTTTTCTCAGTGAGTTTGGTACCTGCCTTACAGTCTTCCACACCAGTCCCTGTTCTTGCACTAAGGGATTTCAGATGTATTTGATGATACTCTCTTGTTCCTCATGGCCTTCCAATTCATCAGCGTCCTCCACTCCCATGGTACCTTCACTGTGTCTCAGCCACAGCCAGGAGCAGTCACACCCTTGATCTCGCTGCCTTCCACAAGTGTACCACTCAGATAGTAAGAAATCTTAAGTTTCTGGATCTCACTGTAACCATTCATTCCTTCTCTCCTTATTGCCTCACCTTCTTTTAGCCAGTCATTTTTTTCTTCTCTAATGACTATCACATTACCCACATTGGCTGTTCCAAATCTTTTTCTCAGTCCTTCAAACCTCATCCCTTCCCCCACTTCCCTTTCCTTCTCAGGAGAGGATCTTGATTTTTACATCATTTAGGAACTAGAAATCATTCAATTTGAGCTGCTTCTTCATCCTAAAACCTTTTGGTTTCATCTCCCATTCTTTTTCTCCCTTACTCCAGCCTCTGAAGAACGTGTAGCACTACTTGCCTAGGTCAACCCTCTACTTGTGTTCTTGATCCCTTCCTCTCTGAAATCCAACCATCTCTCTGATATTCAGTCTCTCCACATCTATTGTCTTCTTCCCTGCTGCCTACAAACATATCCGTGATTCTCCCATCTTTAAAAAAAAGATCCCTCTCTTGACCCTCCCATCCTTTCAGGCTGTTGTTCTATATGTCCCTTTTCACAGTCAACCTCCTGGAACAAGCACATTCATTGTCTCCATTTCTTTTCCTCTTACTTGCTCTTCTACCACCTGTAGTCTTCCAACCTCATCACTCACATGAAGCTACACTTTCCAAAGTTACCCTTGACCTCCAAATTGTCAGATTCAGTGGCCTTTTTTCAGACTTCGTTCTTCTTGACGTCACCGCATCATTTGATAATGTTGACGTTCCTCTTCTGGATACTCCCTCTCTGGGTTTTCATAACTGCTATTTCCATTCTCTTTCCAGTCTAGCTACTTCTTTTAGATCTCCTTTGCAGGATCATAAACCAGACCCAACCCTTTACTCTAACCTACCTTTCCTGCACTCTGATGTTCAGCCCAACTAGCCTCCTTCCTGTTCCTCACACTCAGTCATTCTGTGCCTATGCATAAATTGTCCCCTATGCCTCCTTCCACACTCAGATGCCATCTTCTATATAAGGCCTTTCTCAATCCTCCTGAAGCTGCTTGTACCTCTAACAACCGAAAAGGTCTCACATTTACTTTGCACATAGTTTATATTTACTTATGTGTATACATGTTGTTTCTTTTGATGGTAGGCTCCTTGAGTAATAGGAAGTTCCTAGAGGTTAGGGACTATTTCATTTCAGGTTTTGTATCCAGCACCTAGAATAGTCCCTGGTATTTAGTTTAATTATATTTAATAGTTACTTGTTGATTGATTAAAATAAGTTTCATTTTTCAGAAAGGTCCCAGAGAGAGGAAGTATCTTATATAAGGTCACAGCTAGCAGTGGGAAAGATGTTTGGAGAGGTATATGGGTATCAAGCGGCAGATTTTGAATGCTAGATTAAGAAGTTCAGACTTTACCGTTTAGGCAGGGGAGAGACAATGGAGGTTTTTGAGCAGGTCTTTGATATGATAAAGGTATTTTTAAGGAATGGCAGTCTAGTGACAATCTATAGGATTTTTTTAAAACGAAGGGGAAAGGGAAACAAGAAAAACAGCTGTTGCAGTAGTTCAGGTATGAGATGTTGGGTCAGCCAGGTGATGCCATTGACTTGAAATCAGGAAGACCCGAGTTCAAATCTGGCTGTGGGACCCTGGCCAAGTTATTTAACCTCCCTTTGCCTCAGTTTCCTCATCTGTAAAACAGAGATTTTTGTAGTCCCTACCTCCCAGGGTTGTTGTGAGGTTCAAATGAGATAATAATTGTAAAGCACTTAGCACAGTGCCTGGTACCTAGTAAGCGCTATATAAATGTTAGCTATGATTATTATTATTACTTTTATGATGATGATGTTAAGGATCTAGATTAGTGTGATGGTAGTAAGAACAAGTGAGAGATTTTTGGAAACACTGACAGGATTTGGTAACCTGAAAGATAAGAGTCCAGGATAGTCCTGAGGTTGCCAAGCTTGGATAGTGGTACAATTCAGTTCAATAAATACTTAAGCCTACTATGTGTGGAAAGACACTTCTAGATGTTGAGACAGAGAAAGACATAAAGATGTATGATAAATAGTCCCTGCTGTCCTGGACAAAAAGACATACATATGAATAAGTATAATAGAGATGATCATATATATGACAGCTACTTCTGGGCCTTGAAGTAGAAAGGATGTTAAAAGGCTAGGGATGGGGGAGAAAAGAGTATTCTAAGTATAAGAAAACATTGGATGATCAAAAACCACCAAGTCATTTTGCCTGAAGTGTGGAATAGTGAGGTGAGGCTGGAAAATTATATTGGAGCCAAATTACAGAGGGCCTTGGAAGCTAGACTAAGAAGGTTGGACTTTATTTGATAGGCATTTAGGAATCATTAAAGGTTTTGATCTGAAGAATGACATGATAGCACTGGAAGGTAAGCTGTGAAGTGATAAGGCAAGCTGTAGGAATAGTCCAGGTAGAAGGTAAAGAAACTCTGAATTAGGGCAGCGGCAGAGGCAGTAGCAATGAGCAACAGGCAACTGATGCACGAGATTTTGTAGAGATGTTGACAATGCCTTTGGTATTGACCAGCTCCTCCTCAATGACGTTTTCTTTTCCTTTGACTTCAGGGACACTATACATTCAGGTTCTCCTCTTTCCTAACTGTTCCTTTCCTGGCTCCTTATCCTCTTGCTTTTATTCCTTAAGGAGAGGGTTCCCTAATCTTCTGGCCTTGGCCCTATTTTCTTTCTCCATCCCCTCTTCCTTAGCACACTTATCTTGACTTAATGTGCCAGTTTTATGCAGAGGATTACCAGATCTCCTGTTTATCCCTTGTTTTATCCAAACTGTATATCACACCAGATACCTAATATAAGAGCCTAATACATGTTTGATGAATGAGTGAATGGGTAACAAGACAGATGTTGGAAGCAAAAGAAGAGGGTGTCAAAGATGATATAAAGGTTTCAAGTCTTCATGGTACTGCTATTACTGGAATCAGAAAAGTCAAGTGGGTTTTGGGAGAGAAAAGAGATTTTAGTTTTGGACATGTTGGGTTTCAGATGCTAGAACATTGAGCTAGAGATGTCATATAGGCAACTGGTAATGCAGAATGGGAATTCAGAAAACAATGCCTCTCTGGGACCTTTCTTTATGGAGGTGGTAGTTGAAATCTTAGGAGTTGGTAAGGAAGAGAGTGGAAAAAAAAAGATGTTTAGCAAAAAGAAGAGTGAGGACAGAGCCTTGGAGAAAACCTACCTTTAGAGAACTGGAGGCTTTAGAGGAGCCATTGAAAGAGGCAGAGGAGGAGCTGTCAGAAGAAGGAGGATTGGTGGAAGGAACTGGGCATGTTTCCTGTGGAGAAGACTCCGGGGAGACATAATTGTCTTCAAATATTTGAAGAGCTCTCATGTGTGGGAGGGATCTTGCTTGTTTGACTTGGCCCCAGAGGGCAGAATGAGGAGCAGTTGGTGGAAGTTTCAGAGAGGTAGAAAAAACTTGTAAGAATTAGAGCTCTGCAGTGAACTCTAGTCCCCTTTTCCCTTTTCCCTCCTATCCCCCCTTGAAGTCTTCAAGTGCAGTCTGAGTGGCCACACGCTGGACATGTTTGGGAGAGGATTTAATTTAAGCCATCTACGTTAGAGTAGATGGCTTCTGGCATCACTTTGAGTAGAGCTGGAGCTCAAGAAGACAGGCTGGGACTAGAGATTAAGATTGATGAGCCATCCACAGCCTGGTAGTAGTGAAAACATGTTTGTTGACGAGCTTTTTGACACAGATTCTACTTCAAGACTAACAGAGGGCCAAGAGCAGAGACTACCTGTATTTAGGAAGCGGGTAAATGAGAAGGTGTAAGTAAAGGTATAATGTCTAGATTCTTTATATTGCAGGAAAAGAGGCTGAGCTCTCAGTCCCACCAGAGCATGGATTCACATGTGTCCACCAGCACAGCCTCAGCAGGCATCCTGGAAGAGGAAGGAGAGGCGGAGCAGAAGCAGGGGCAAACATCAGAAAGGGAGACAAGTCACAGAGCCAGTGAGGAGGAGGTGGAAATTATGGCAGCTGGCCATGAGGAGGAAGTGGAGGAGGAATATGATGAGGTATGAAGAACGGGGGGTGGGGAAGGGGATTGGAAAAGGCAGGGGGAGCGGGGAGCAACATTGCTTTGCACCCTAGCCTATTAGAGTGGAAGGGACTTAGTTCTGCTGTCGTGTTACCTGTCTAATACTTTTCCCAAGCAAGAGGCCAATTGATGTTGGAAATTTCTTTGCGATCAGGCCTATAGTTTGTGAAACACCTCTGCTCCTTACTGTAGCCAGGGGTATCCCCATCCTCCTTGCCCCTAGTCCCAACTTGTGGCCTTTGTTCCATGGCTGTGTGAAGTTTTTGATTCCTTAATGTGAAAGGCTCTGCTGAGAGTTGGGCTTCCTGGAATGAAGTCCTGACAGGAGAAAGCACTTGCGTGTTGGTCCATCTCTACGTAAAGATTATTTTCTTTTCAGGTGGTAGGAACAGTTTGAGAAGGGGAGAGGGACCTGTCCCAAGAAGGCCGGACTATAGACACTTAGAATTTTTTTTTAAACCTTAAGTGTTGTCTTTGTTCATTCAATTCAATAAATATTAAGTACCTACTGTGTGCCAGGCACTGTGCTAAGGGGCTTTTATCCTTTCTTGGGGTTTGTTCTTTATCATCTCCCCTTCAATTAATATGAGAGAAGTCCCAGGTAGGAAAGTATCTGTATTCCTAGTTCCTCTCTTTCCTTCTCCTGAATTTTTAGCTCTCCCTCTGCCCCAGTCCAGGAAATTGAGACAGCCATTGCTGCCTTCGTCCATTCCCTGCCTCTCCTAAGTGGACTAGGGATGAGCAGAGCCCCTTTTGGTTCAGCCAAGGTGTAGCTAGTCTTCTTCCTAAGGAACTTGCACTGAACAACCAAGGAAAGAGAAGGTAAAAATAGCAGAGCAGAAGAATGGGTGAGGCTGGAGCAAAGCACATTGTCGCACATCGCTCTGGCATAAGCAGCATCTTGCTACAGATGGGCTTGACTGGCATGGCATTCAGGGTTCTGTGCCTTTCTCTATAAATGGGCTCTGTAACCTAGAGATTCTCCTTCTCTCCCCTCCCTGCAACACCCAGGACACTGGGTGCCACTTATTATTTGGGAAATTGGAAGTAACCAAAGAAATTCGAGGTGGCTGGGGTCAGTGTCATGGTACTTGGGGTTCAAGGCCTGACTGGTCAATCCAGTTTTGCTAAGATGGATAGTTTATGAAGTGCAGTAATATGAAATAAGGTAGGTGGGAGTTAGGTTATGCAGGGGCTTAAAAGGCTGGTTAAAGAGTTTGTGTTTTATGCTAGTCAATGAGGAGACACAGCAAGTTTTTCAACAGGTCTTATCAGACCTGGGCTTTGATCAACAAACAGTTATTAAGTGCATACTGTATACCAAGTACTTAAGAGTATTTTCACAGTTGTGTGGCGTATAGATTAGAGAGGAGAAAGACTGGACAAATGGATGAGAGGTGATGAGGGCCTGAATTAGCTGGTTGTGTGAGTGGAGAGAATTCAGGAGATGTCGTGGATTTAGGGGAGAGAGAATATTCAAGGATAACTCCAAGGTGATGAATTTGGGGAACCAAGAAGATGGCAATGCCCTCAACAGAATTAAGGAAGTTTGGACAAAGTGCAAATTTGAGGAAAAGATGAGTTCCGTTTGGGACATAACTGAGTTTTTATAGATGAGGAAATAGAGGCTCTGAGAGGGCAATTGACTTATCTTTTGTTGCACAGCTAGTCATTGAGAAAACCAGGACAAAACCCAGGCCTTTTGACTACTGGGCCAATTTTTTTTTTTTTTTTTTTTTCATTTCTGAGATGCATGGTTGACTTGGATTTAAGGTTTTGAATATTTCTTGTATGGACCCACACTGTACTCTGGAAATGAATGAATAAAAAACTTTTAAGTGCTTACCATGTGCTAAACAGTGTGCTTTGCTGTTACAGTGCCTTGGAGTAAGAGCCACATACCCCCAAGCTGAGGAAGCTAAGCAGTGCTGAGTTCATATATCTGATTTGTTTTATGTAGGTGAGAAAGTGAGAGCTGAACAGGGAGTAATAGATAGAATGTACTGGGAAAGTCTGAGAGGCTGGTATTCCAGTGAGAACAAAGTGGAAGAACAGTGCCTGTATTCCCTCTCTCAAGTTTTCCTAGAGTGCTTTGAGTGTCCTTTGAAACCTTTATTTCCTACTTTGTATTATACTCACCTGTGTATATTTTATATCTTCTCCTTTCCTCCTCCCCCATATGTAAGCTCCTTGGGCTCAAAGGTTGTGTCCTTTTTCATCTTTAAAGGAGTTCCCTGTGCTGGTCACAGCATTTTGCACACATTTTGCACACTCTAGGTACTTAGCTGGTCACAGCATTTTGCACACTCTAGGTACTTGATAAATGTTTGTTGCATTGAATTGGGGGTAAAAGAAGCTGGGATCAGGGATTCATAATGAAATAAGTAATAAATTTTGGTTTATTGTATAGTATTATAAAGTATAGACCTGAACATTTTGTGAGAGAAGGGGAGAGATTGTGGGGTTTTGAAGATATGGAGCGGAGAGAAACATTTGAGGATTACTTCACAACTCAGCCAATCCCCATGTCTTCAACGGGAGTGATTTGAGTAGGGGAGGCTCCTGTGATCAAGGAAGAGAGGATAGTTTTCATGGTTGCAGAGTCAGGTTTCACATTTCTGGTCTTCTTACAGCCCACCGTGCACTTTGCAGAGGACACACTGGTACGGAGCGAAGATGAGGATGAAGCCGAAGAACTGCGGCCCCCACCTGGGGAAAGGCAAAGACTGATCCGGAAAGATACTCCCCATTACAAGAAGCACTTTAAAATCACCAAGCTGCCCAGGCCTGAGGCTGTGGTGGCCTTGCTTCAGGGGCTGTCAGGGGATGGAGATGGGGAGCTAGCCCCAACAGGCTGTAGCAATGGCCCCCATGCTCCACATGAGCAACGGCCTCTCCCTTGGAGCCAGCATGCTGAAATGAACAAGGAAGAGGACAATGAACCTGATGAAGAGAAGAATGGGGCAGTGGCTGCCCCACCTTCTGTCAAGGTAGGGCCCCAAGGGCCTGGGTACCCTCAGGGGGCTTCTGAGGTAGGGAAGGCCCTGGAGAATAGCTGTCATGCTGCATAAAGCCTGAAGGTTGAAAAGGCTACCATGCTCTGTTGGGAATTTCACTCCCCTAGACACACTAGGCTCTTCTTGGGAGGCCTTTCCATAGCCTTAAGTGGTTGAAAGGGACAACCCTGGGTAGGGTATGCCAGCAGTGGGATGCCTCTGTTGTCCCCTGGCCAGTTGTACTGCTGAATGACACTGTCATTTGTATTGATGGTCTTTACTCCTTATCTATTTGTTGCCAGCTCTAATTTGCTTTTTCCCTTTGCCCTCCCTGCTCTTTGAGATTAGCTCTCTAAGATGATGCTGGCGGCTAATTACTTTTTTCTCTCCAAGCCTTCTGTTTTTTGACTGGGAGTGTGGGATTGGAGGAGTTGCAAGATTGTTGATTCTCTTTGCCAGTCAGTGAACACTTAGAGTATCTACCATATGCCTAACATTTTAGCTGTCAGCTGTATGGGAGCAGGAAGGGTTACTAGACGTATGTAGTCCAGTTGGTCACTTACAGATGATCAGAGACACGTCCCCATGTCTGTCTTCAGTTTAGAGAAAGGCAGAGACGTATACCTGTGGGCGTCACTCAGGGCTAGTCAGAGAGATTCTTGTGTTGGGTCATTTACTCAGAGACACAACCCTATTTTTGGTTTTTACTCAGCGTTGGCTATAGATATAACCTTACTCTGGTCACTCAGCTACGTCTATATCAGTGTTTGTTGCACTTAGCCCCTCTATCCTTAAACTCAACACTTTTCCCTCCCCCCACCTATATTGGCAGCAATAATCCCCATGTTATCAAAACAATCATAGGGATGAGGGAACTCTAACTTTTCCTTCAGTGGCCTATTTGTTAGGAAATGGGTTTGTGTTTGAATCTCCCCTAATGGGGATTGACAAAGGAAAGAGTCTGGGGAGCCAGTCCTCTGGTAGAGATGGGGATTTGGGCCCTAGGATACTGGTGGCTACACTTCACACTCTGGCATGGGTGAGCTTGGTGGTTTTCCTTCTCCCCTCTCCTTTCTGCCTCGTGGCTGGAGCTGGTGCTGGAACAGACAAGGCCCCAAGCAACGTCTCCAGGAATGACTGTGGGCATTTGGTGGTGGTAGTGGTGGTGGCGGCGGTGGTGGTGGCGGTGGTGGTGCTGGTTTGGGCCCCACTAATCCGCATGCCTCTTTGCTGGTCCTGTCCTAACAGGGGGTGTCGTTTGACCAGGCCAATAACCTGCTGATAGAGCCTGCTCGCATTGAGGAGGAAGAGGTCTGTACTGCTCCTGTTGGGCTCACTCACTCACTCACTCACTCTCCCCTGAACTCCTCACACTGCTTAACTTGCTACCTGGGGTTCTGGCAGGCTGGCCCTACCATGCACAGTGATCTGTCTTTCCTTGTACTTTTCCCCCTCCTTTGCAAATGACTCTTTCTCTCCCTGAAAATCTAGAGCCAGCAGCAGCTGTTGCAGAGTTGGGTTGTATGTATGTGTTGGGGAACTACTTCGGGGACAGAGGGTCAGCATACCTACACCTGTTTTTCAGGCCATAATTTGCCCTCCACACTATTGTGAGAGTGATTCACTTCAATCCCTTTTTTCCTAGGTGTTGGGGTCAAGTTTTCCTCTTAAAGCAGGAGTCTTCTTTTCATTTTAACACTCTGGCTCTATCAGGAATCTGGCTGAGCACAATAGTCTGAGCCCAATGGCCACACTGTTGACCATTTGGACAAAAGCAAAACACCCCCAGCTCTCCTCCTTGTTCCCACATACCTCCCCCCTTCACCAGGAAAAAGTATTCTGTAATTGTAAGCTTCAGGGGGGTCTCAGAACTTATGACCTAAGTTTAGATAGTTCAACTTGTATCTGAGCAGGAAACCTCACCACAAAATTCCCAATAAGTGGTCATTCAGACTTTGTTTGAAGACCTTTATTAATTGGAAAATTAGTCCCCAAGGCCGCTCGTTCCTTTTTCAAACCTGTTTGGCATCATTCTGCAGTCATAGTCCAAAGAATGGCAGTATTTCACTCTAGGGAGACAGTGGGACCTCATGAAAGCTTTTGCTTCTCTCTGGTAGCTCTCATCCTTCCTTAACAGCATTTAATACTGTAGGCGTCTTTCTTCTCCTGGCTACTTTCTCCTCCCTCGGCTTCATAGATAACCTGTTTAGCTGTTCCTTCTGTGTCTCCTTTATTGGCTCTTCATCTTCTTGAACCTTTAAGGCTGGTGTACTGGAAGAGTCTATTCTTGGACTTCTTCTTTCTCTATGCTCTCTACCTTGGTAATCTTGTTGATTGCCCTGGTTTCAATGACCAACTCTTTGTGGATGACTTCTGAGTTGTTGTCAGCTCTTACCTCTCATCTGAACTTCATACTTTCATATCCAACTACTTATGATGTCTCCACTGTCATTACAAACTCAACATGTCTCAATCCAAGGACATCATCTTTCCCCCCAGGCATGCTCCTCCTAACTTCACAGTTTCTATCAATGGTACCATCGTTCACCCAGTGTCCAATGTTTGAAACTTTGGCATTGTGTTTCACTCCTCTGTCCCTAGCTCTGACAGATCTCACAATTATAGCACATCTGTATCTTCATGTAGCATTTTGTTTTGCCTCCTTTCTGAGGCATGTGACACATAATATTGTATGTTAGTTATCTGTATTTGTATATTGTCCAAGACTGGTCTTTGAGCTCCCTAAGAGCAGGAAAATAACTGATCCAACCCTAGTATCTTCCTCAGTACCTAGCACAGTGCTTTGCATATACTAGCCAATTAATAAATGTTTAATGAATTAAATTCACCATCACATATGCTTAATCAGCCGGTTAAGAAGCAAACACAGTTTAATGCAGTATAAGAAAATCTTGAGTTTCAAACAGTGTACATGCTAGCAAATTACAGGTTGTAGTCTTGAATTCTTCTCGATTTGCCTTAATGACCTGTTCAGGCTTTTTACAAAGTATCACTGCCTCCTTCATTCATTGTCACCGTGTGCAGGACATACTAGTAAACTTAATTGAGCTGGGGGTGTGTGTGTGTGTGTGTGTGTGTGTGTGTGTGTGTGTGTGTGTGTG